CAATTTAAAATTATAATTAGATATCAAAATAAATTTTAAGATAATCCTAAGAACATTTTACACCAAAATTATATACCATGATAAAATTTGAAGGTGCACCTTACCTCCACAGGTACGGATGCATCCGTATGCCAACCGCACCTTTGGCTAAATATGCTTTTTCACATTCTAACTCTATGAAATGCCAAGATGGACTCAGGAATGGTGATTTCAACCTGTTCCTAGTCTATGTGTTTTTACATATAAAAGGATATATATATCCATGGGCTATGGTCCTATGTTTTATCCGTCCGATTAATTAGAGGAAGGTGATGTAAATAGAATGGGACCCACAACTTGAGGCATGATATTTTAGTTGGAGTTACTTAGCTTATGAGTTCTGAACTATTTTTAGCAAATGGGCTACATGTAATTCATGCTATCTTGGGTGGAAAATCATGAACTTTGATGGACGAAAGATTCATCTCAACCGTCCGTTGTAGGGCATGGTTACTTGAACTCTCCTTTGGCCTAGAAATCGGAAGAGGAAGAGAGAGAGAGAGAGAGAGAGAGTTTCCTGGCATTTTCCGCTTAGTTAGGTATTGGTATTATTCTTTTGGGTGCGATTTATATAAAGCCGATGCTCTAAATAATCAAATTAGAGGCCACCGTTAAATAGTGTCGAGAAATGTGGTTTCAATGCTGAAATTTTTTGTGATAACCTTAAAATATGTTTTATCTTTAATTATAGAATTTAAAGCTTAAAAAATTATGTAAATCGCAGATCTATGAAAACTTGAAAATCTTTAAAATTGACAGTCCAAAAATGCGTTACAACATGCACTATTTCAAAAACTTGAAATCAATTTTTTTTTTCATATCCATGCATCTTGATGTCGAAATGATCAATTTAAAGATATTTAAACATCAAAACAATCTCTTATGTTAAAAATTTTGAAGTAGGTTCAAATTTGATTGTTTAAAGCCTCGGCTCTATATAAAATTTTCCTATTCTTTTTGCTTTTACATGAGAGGATCTTTTGTTGGATGTAAAAAATATAATATAATCCATATGGTCGTAGCAAACACAATGACAGTGTGATTTATTGACATCTAAGCAACGGTTTGTATAGTGATGAAGAGAAGTAGAGGGCATGTAAGGTAGAGCAGGAAAAGGGAAAATATACAATGTAACCATTTACTTTTTGCACAAGGTGGTCACAAATAAATATTGACCTTTGGATGTGAAATTGAGAGGTTACATTTATTTCATTGATCAGAGCACAAAGATGAAAATAAATTTTTTCGAACTTTGTGACACTCAAAATATACAATTTCACATTGGATGCTAATAAGCAACTGTGATTTTCTTGTACAATACGTAAATGGTATCATTGTATATATAATCCTTATAAAGCACATAAATATGCTCCTTTATTTTACTTTTGATCCCTTTGGAGCATAGTTTGCTTTTGCTCCCTTGGTAAGATGAACTATTTTGGAGAAATTTTTTAGTCTGAAATTTTCGGAACCACCTAAGAATCACTAGATGATTATTCTCAAAAGAAAAATATTGACATTTGTGTTTTTTAACACTTAGATCTCACCCTCTAAAACTTAGATGGTTTCTATTCAACCTTGAGATATTATATTTTTCAAATGTTTAGAAGGTGCAATTAGGAAATTAATTTTGTATTGAGTTTAACCTCTATGTTAAAAAGGTTATATCTCTAAATTTTGGGGTCTTAGAATTAATCTCATGTGAGGTTTTAACTGAGGAGTAAATAGACAATATTGTCCCAAGGGAGTAGAATATCTTTTTGCTACAATATATTCATTAAATTGTATGTCCATCACTCTCCATTGTAGTTCAAACCCATTGGTGGGTGAAATTTCTTTAATGCCTAGGATTCATGAAAACAAACCAAAGCCCTACTTCAATCCTCATCCGAAAAGTACTTTCAGCAACGAAAATCTTCATTGTAGCTCTAAAATCGATTTCCAATACTGACAATAAATTTTGAAACTTAAAAAATAGTACACATCTTGCGGATCTATGAACAATTATTTTTAGATGAAATAGACGGTCTAGATAATTTGTTACAATACACACTATTTTTAGAGTTTGAAATTTCAATTTTTTTTTTCACAACGATAATGTTCAAGCCGAGATGATCGTTGCAATGGTTTTCGCATGCTCGAATTACGATTTTCGGATGAGGCTTTACTTGTTTTGATAGGGTTGCAGCTCTCTCAAATCATTTTCCTTGATGTGGAATGGCAAATGAAGACCATAATAGATCATGAATTAGCCCTCGCTGTATACAATCATGAACCATGCACATGATGCATGAAAGCAACTAGACCTAAAGGTTATCACTTCGACATCTGTCATAAGGAGTAGGCCCCTAACAAACACATAAATTCACGTGTTCGTCCCATTAATCCAACCCATTTCCTTGAATTTTGGAATCATGTGGTTGTTTACTATAAAACACAAAAAGAAACTGAAATCCTTAAATGCTCCTGCACATTGTTTCTATGCGGCCGGCCTACATATTGTATAAATACGGGTTTCGCAATAAGTATATATTTTAAATATTATTTTATCCTAATTTTTAGAAAATATATAATTTTTAACATAGAGATCATGAATATAAAAAAAAATGATAATTTTAGAATTAGAAATATTAATTATATTTAAAAAATATTTGGACACTTATTTTTAGATGGACCACCTATTTACATCTATATTTAAAATAGATACTTTATACCTCTGGGCCATATATTGTAGAAATGCAGTCCACGCGCCATGAAACAATTTTCCTAAAGCCAACATCTTAGTCAAAACACTATCTATTATAACTATTAGGACCTCCATATATTGTAGAAATGCGGTCCAACCGCCATGAAACAATTTTCCTAAAGCTAACATCTTAGTCACAACACGATCTATTATAACTATTAGGACCTCATATATGATGTAACCTCCACAACCTCGCGATGAAGCTCAAAAAGGAAGGAAAAACTTTCGTAAGATATATATGTGGCTAAAAAAAATTAACATCCCAACATAGAAGATTGACCCTTCCAATTTCAGGAAGCTCAAATATAAATGCTTAGGAATTAATAGCCATAATCTTTTAGTTCAAAATACTAATATAGTGATTCTAAAGTGGATATCAAATTTCTAGATCAAACAAATATTCCAAACGGGGTCTTTGGCCAGCAGAGTAAGTCTACAGCATAGTCCTGCCATACAATTTAGGTAAAATATCGAAAAATAGTAAAAATAAACGAGGGGGTTAAACAACAAAGTTACTGTCATTTAGAAATCGTTTAGGTTAAATACCTCCTTAATTGTTTTTTGTTTGAAAATGTCCAAGGTTGCCTTTTATTGGGTTTTGAAGCCCCAAACAAGTTAGAGAATTTTGGTATTTTTCAATTGAGCCAAATAACCTAGGCATACCTGCTTGTTCTAGTTCTAACCTGAAACATATTTTCTAATTAGAAATATCTTGTTATGAGCTAAGAACCCAAAACACGCTAGGCATTAATGTATTTTGGCTTTAGTGACTTAAGTGACGCAAACTATTAAGGGTGAAGTTTGTATAATGTGCCCACCATATACTACACAAGTGGGGTGCACATCTAAATTTTGCCGGATGAATTTGTTATGATGTCAAAAACGTTAAGGTCACTTGAAAATTTATGATCAACTCTAATTATGAAATTTAAAATTTTAAAATAGTGTCAAACAAACAGATTTATAAACACTTGAAAATCATGAAAATAGAGATAGTCTAGATAACTTGTTAACAAATTACAGTTTATTGAGGATTTGAAATTGTTTATTTTCTTTATATTCATGCATATTGAGGTGCGCTCTAATTATGTTGTTTAGAGCCTCGCACTTACTAAAAATACTCTTTAGATGAAGAACCCCCCGAGCAATTTACGCATTTTTAAATAATATTTTTCTTACGGTACAATGGATGATGAGAAAAAGGCCCTAATACGAATAATCAAGTTACTGATTGAACTGGTTCTGGTTCTGGTTCTGGTTCTGACTAATTTAGCGGGATTTTCACCATAATTTAACATTGTTAAAGCCTGGCACGGTTCTCAAAAAACCCTAGACTCAGGGGAGTACAAAAAGGACGCCTTTTCTTTCGCAGAGCTGCCCGTACAAAAATAAAAGATATACATAAGGCTACTCCGGAGGGACTATAAACAAAACAATAATAAAAAAGAGAACCTTTCCGACAATTACTTTTTGTTTGCGGGCGCAAAGATTTTTGTCGCTTCTAAACTTCCATTCCATTTCTCTTTCTCTCTCTAGAATTTCCAATTCTCTCTCTCTCCCTAGAATTTCACTTCACTTCACTTTACTTTTGCTTTGATTCATTCAAAACGCCGAGGAAGAGTCCAAACTGTCTCTTCACCTCTCTCTCTCTCTCTCCACCGAAAGTGGCAGCACTCTCTCTCTAAAAAAAAGGAAAAAAAAAGAAAAGAAAAAAAAGAAAAGAATCTCCCTCTCTCTCTACACTCTCTCTCTCTACAAAAAGAAAGAAAGGAAATTCTCTCTCTACATTTTAGAGAGAGAAAGAAAAAGAAGCTTTTGAGTTTTCCCGCCCTTGCTATTCGATTGGACAGTTCTGTTATATTATAAATTTCTGAAATTCTTACTAAAACGCATGATCCCTAAACCGAATAAAGGATACGACTCACGTGTACAGTCATCATAAAAACATGTATGATATTCGTCGTGCTTTCTTTGTCACGTTCGCTGTCCTTGCGTGCACAGCCTGCGGACGCGTGTATCGTTACCTGGTTTTTGTCAAAGAAATACATTTCCTTGGAATGAATCTAGAGTCATGACTTCTGCCTCAATTATGATTAGTTTCACTCTCTTAAAAAAAAACGTTTCTCTCTCTCTCTAAAAAGAGTTTCTCTCTCTAGCGACGCGTGTATTTTGGTCAAGAAATTCAATGGAATATCTCCGTACCCGCATGCAAGTATCCCTACGTACTCTTTCTGAAAAAAATCTTTCTCTTTTGTATTGAGAGTGCTAATAACTCTGTGGTCCATCTTTTTCTGGTTTAATGGCAACATGGAGCCGGTTTTCATGGCTTTTTCACTTGAAACGACTGCCAGCATTTAAGAAGAGAGACGTCCTCTTCTCCTTATCACTGTTTCTCTCTCTTTTTGTGGCATTGGCACTGCATCAAAGGCTGGCAAGTTTTATCAGAGCTTCTTTCTTCAAGTCTTAATCTCTCTCAGGCTTCAAGTAATTGGTTTCTTCAAAAATGGTACGCCCATTCTTTTCCGCCTCTCTATGCATATGACGAAATGGCTGTAAAAAATAGTGCTTTTTCTCCTGTTATAATGGATGGTACTTTGTAGCACTGTAATTGCATTGGCAAGTTTATGTCTGTGTTTTTGTTCCTGTACTCCAGTTTCTGTGATGAATACTTTTCTATTGATTTTAAAGACACAATTTGTGGTGGTTTAGCTTTTGGGTCGTACTATTTCACGGCCTAAAATCCGCATGCTCATGTTCAATAGATGATTTTGTTTTTTGGATTAAGCCCAAATGAAAAGTTTAGTAGATGAATACTAGTTAAACAGTGATTCTCCTTTGCTTTTACGGCTCAAGGATTTGCTTTTTCGTTATTACCATATTTTGTTTGGATTAAACCACATGACAATTTTATTCGATGAATAGTAGTTAAACAGTGGTTCTCCTTTGCTTTTATTGCTCAAGGATTTGTCTTGTGTTATTACCATATAAGATGTAGTTTTTCCTGGACAAAATGCTAAATTATATGATCCTTTTTAAAAAAAAAAAAAAAAAATCGTATCTATTACAAGTGCTGAAATTCCTTAGGAGTGCATCTACATTATCTTCCACATGATTTTAGAGTAATCGAATGAAATTACTTAGGAGTGCATCACCATTATCTTCCACCTGATTTTAGAATAATCGAATTGTATAGAGACTGCCTTTTTTTTTTTTTTCTTTTTTTGGCCTTATTATGTTTGCTTGTTTGTGGTTCTACTGTGTGATCATTATTTTGTTGAGTTCGAGCCTTTTGGGTGGAGGAGAAACATCTTGTTGTTATCAGCAGTGACGATTTTGGACTTTTGCAAATGATTGAAGTTGGGCATTTGTTTTCCTCGGTTACATGATGATTGAAACTTAGCATTCATATGTATATATTATATGCATGAATATTCATGAAAGTAATAGTGCAATCAGTAGCATTGTTACTTCAACTTTCCCTCGGGGCCGGAAATAAAACTTCGGATCAAACCCCAGTAAAGCATAGAGTCCAGGCTCTAAAACAATCGAAGTAAAGCGTACTTTCAAATAGTTTCGAGAAATGTGATTTTAATATTGAAAATATATTTTCATCACTAATTACAAAATTTAAAGTTTCAAAAATAGTGTAGATTGAACGGATTTATGAAAATTTGAAAATCTAGAAAATTGACGATCCAAAAATATATTACCAGATGCACTGTTTCCAATGTTCGAAATCTATTTTTTTTTTCTCATCTCTATAGATCTTGATGTCTAGATGGTCAATTTGAGAATATTTGAGCATCAAAACAACTTCTTCTAATAAAAAATTTCGAGATGGGTTCTAATGTGATTGTTTAGAACCTCAACTCTATATAAACACTCTCCTAAATGAAATTGTACGAGACAACCAGGCAAAGTGGTTGGTGGCCTGGACCACAGTCACTCTCAAATAGCTTATCGATAGTACAGATTTTAGGGCCTTCACTATTTTTGTTGTAGGGGGCCTCTGCGTACCAAAACCAGATCCATATTTATTATTATTTTTGTGTGGTTTTTAGGAGTCAGGATTGAGCCTGATTGGTGAGTGGTTAACCATCTGAATATTATGGCCGAGCTGGATTCATGCAGGTGAACTACCAAAATATATATATATATATATATATATATATATATATATATATATATATATATATATAATATTATTTATTTTATTTAATTTAAGTTTAAGTACGTACCGTAGTTAGTACTAACTACTATAGTATACTACGTAGTTAG